TATTTCAAAGTAGCTGGGAATCACTAAATTTGACGTTTAGCTTATATTTAGCTTCCTCCAATTTTTTTTTTTCTCAAAAACGATTAAGGTTAGGCACAGAGTGTTTCATATAAAAAATCATAAAAATTTTATAGAGAATTTAAGTATGTAATAAAAAATATGGATATTCATTTAAAATAAAAAAGTTTCTGGTCAAGTTCCGGTATTTACAAAGTGCCGCCATATTGAAAATATTTTCATCGAGAGATCTAACAGTGAAACAATGATATGAAAAAGAGCTCAGATCAAAATACCTATAGTAGTTCTTAGAAACTTCTAATCTGAGACAGCTCAATCTGGGACATCCTGTATACCTACCTATAAATACATTAAAATCTCATGGATACCTGAGCTGTAATCTTGCTTTTCAGTTAAACACAACAGTTACTTTATACCGACCAATGTCAAAAATAAATCAGCCTAAATAGTTTATGGTTTATAATAAATTAAAAAATATATATCACGAAATCCTAGTCATTCTTCATACATAAAAACGTGTTCTAAAAAAAGAAAAAAACAATAAACAAAAAAATATACGTATAAGTAACACTTTTTTTTTATATTTAGGAACATTCTCAAAAAACATTTTTAAAAAAAAAAAAACATGTACATATATGTAATTTCTTTTATCTCATAGATATTAACTATTAAACAGCCCTAATATAGGTATGGACTAGAAATTGTAACAAAAAATGGATGTTAAAACTCTTACTCTCATATTCTTTATGCAAAACCTTCTTGATCAACTGTAAATATGATACATTTTTAGTATCAGAAGATATACAGGGTGTTTTTTTTTTTTTAATACTTAATTTATTAGGCTTATTGAAAACATTATTATGCAAAATTTCTTTGGCATGATGAAGCAATAACAAAAATAATTTTGACATATCATGCGACAAGTGACAAAAACCTTTTTATGCATCAAAAGTTGAGGTTAGATAAAAATTATTAAAAAGTCAGAGAGAAAAGATAGTTCAGAACATAATCTTTACATCTAGTTATCAAGTTTCAATGGGGATTAGGTTAATTTTCTGTCTGTCAAATTAAACTATTTTTCCAATTTTCTCTTGTTTCATACTATATATTTTTAAGTTTAGTATACTTTGAACTTTGCGCATCTTCATGAAAAATTACATTAAAATGTCTTTTTACTATCTTAAAATAGGAAACAGGAAAATTTTAAATTGAGTGAGATGATTCTAGGACATTTCATTTTTAAATGCACTGTATATCAAAAACGATCAACGCAAAGTATACTAGTTCATATATTTTTAAATTAGCTAAAATATGTCTACCGGAAGATGCTAAAATATGTAGAATTTCCAATTTAAAACCAACATGGCGCCGTATCTGACAAAATTGACGCTTTAAAAAATGTTCAGATAAAAATCGGCATCCTCGCGAAAATTACATTAAAATATCTTTTTACTATGTTAAAATAGGAAACAGAAAATTTTAAATTGAATGAGACTATTAAATTAATTCTGGAACATTTAATTTTAAATGCACTGTCGAAAACGATCAGCGCAAAGTATACTAAACTACATTTTTGGAAATTAGCTAAAATATGTCCGGAAGATACTAAAATATGTAGGGGTTTCATTTAAAAGAAATCAAGATGGCCTCTGTATATGTCAAATAAATTGACGTTTTAAAATATTTTTAGGTAGAAAATCGGCAACCTCGCAAAAAATTACAACATTTTTTACTGTCTTTAAATAGGAATTAGGAACATTGTAAATTGAGTGAGACACTTAAAACAATGTCCTTGATATTTGTCCATTTTTTTTTTCAATCATAAAGCCATTACCCACAAAAAGTTATCGCCATGGCAATTCGACATAACTTTTTTTCCACTCATTTCCATTTTTTGGCACGCCCTGTATAGTTGGTTCTCCTTTCTACATAAATAGCAGGTTATTACTACATCTTGTAAAGAAACTTTATTTATAAAATATTACTTCACATTGCTTTCATCTGCCAATTATTAATACACTTAAAAAGAAATAATATATAAAGAATAGAAAATAATCTATAACAAAATGTGTAAAAGATATTGCACAAATTAATTTGTATGTAAATGTGAAATTAAAAGGCACATTCACTGTTAGTCTAAACTGGAAAAACTAGAATTTATCAAATTTGGCAATATAATCAGGTGGTAGATAATGCGTTTCAATATAATAATTAAAGATAAATTCAGTGCCCAACAGATGGCGATATAATTTGGTTATAAAACCAGCCCAGGCTTTCATCTGATTATAAAATAAAGAAAATTTAATAATTTTAAGGTAATACCTCCACCTTTTTATACAAATTCTAAAACAGATATAGCACAATACTTAATCAGAACACATACACTACTTTTTTTTTATCTGTTATCTGTATATGATAAGAAAATTGGGAGAACTTTTTATACCAAATTTTGCATGTGTGAAAAAATATCTCAATAAATAATGTATCTTTACTTGACACATTACTGCAAAGTTTCAGTATAAAGGGTGTTATTTAAATACGTAACCAAACTTTAAGTGACTTTTTGAGTGATTTTAATACAACAATTATTATACCTAATTGTAGGTCCAGAAATGCTTCCTTTTCAATATACCAAGCGACAAGTTTTTTAAAACAGGTCATTTTTTAAATATTTTAATTATTATTAAAATATTTAATGTAGACCATTCTTTTAAAATTTGTCAATGATATAGAGGATAGTAAAGGGATATATAAAAAACAAGTTTTTTATATGTTTCTCGGAAAACATAATAATGGATATGTTTCAAAGGCCTCAACTGTTGAGGGCGCTTAGTGGGTTTCTGTTCCAAGTGCCGTAACTTATACCGATCAGCACATAAATATACATACCGATCTGGTCATCGAAACTGCGTGGTCTGGATTTTAACGAGTAAAACGTGTAAGAGATAAAAGCCGGGTTGATGCATTTTTCTATGCGGTATTGCCGGATTTTGCATCAAAATTTCAAACGGCTCAACTAGGCGTTTATGAAAAATGTTGCATCTAGGGTTGGAACTTTATTTTTCACAATTAGCTGTAACAAATTATAACAGCTGTAATAGATTATATTTAGCTTAGATATGTGATCTTCATTTCAGTACATGAAACAACATGAAAGTTTTTAAAATTGTTTTTTTTTCTACACGAGTACCGATTTTCGATCGATTTTCCTACAAACGTAAAAACCGGCAACACCGTATGCCGCTTTTTATTTAGTCTCTCTGTCTGTCAACCGGTCAGTTATCTCCGTCGCATGCATTAAAATACAGACCACGCAGAGAAAGTGACCAGGACTAGTAACTGGCTTTTGGGTTGGGATTTTTACGCTCATTATCATGGAATCGTGAAATCACAAGCATAACTGTTGTTTCAAAATCTGGTTATTTTTAAAAACAAAACACCACAGTTGACGCCCTATGTATTGGAAAGCAGGCAATTTTGGGCCTATGTGATTTTTTCTTAAAATCACTAAAATATCCACACCCAGAATTTTACCTACTTAAATAACACCCGGTACGGCCTTAAAAAAAATATTTATTTTGTAAAACCGTTACTGGGTGTAAAATACGCGAATAAAAACTCTTCAGCGGCTGTTAACTGTACACAAATTTGTCCAAGCAACGAAAACCAATTAACGTTTTTAAAGGTATATCTTAACCCTCAGATGCAAAGAAATGAAAGGAAAAAATATGATTATATATGAAATATGATCGATGATTTAAATAAAAAATATTTAAATCTAAATTAACCAAACGAAGACCTTTTGATTCTCTTATTCAAACAGATATTATTTAAACTAGACATTTTCATAAAGCAATATTGTTATTAGCATGTATTCGTCGCCTTCCACACAAAGTGTCGTAAATGACATTTTGAAAATTTGCAGTAGAGCGAAAAAAACGTGTTTTAGTGCGATCACTAACACTCACTGTTGTTAGATATTCTATTTATTTTGTCTCATACAGTATGGGAGCCTTTCCTGTTACAGTTATGACACTGCAGGGATTCTTAGATCGCACAAAAGAGGGTTTTTTAGATCTACTGTAAAATTTCCAAAATGTCAGATACAACAGTTTGTGTGGAAGGAAAGAGGTAAGGAGAATCATCTCTTATGGTACTTTTTTTGAAAAAGTGGTAACCTAAAAGGGGAAAATAAAGGTTCACTAAATGATCACAGTGGCGCTAATAAGCAATAAGGGATCGAACTAAACTTAGGAGCATAGGAGCATATTATACAGTTATCGCCTACCCCTGCAATGTATTGGAGTTGAAGCCGAGTTAGAGACTAGATAACCGGATAACTAGATATAGATAACTAGATAACCGGTCCATATATATTTCACATAAGTTCGTCTGTTAGGCAGACGCTGGCGCAACAGCGCAACTCCAAAATTTCGAAAATCGATTAGCCCTTACTCTGAGGATTAGCCAATTGTCGAATGGGAGCGCAAACGAAAGCCGTACGAAGTTGGACGGAGCCGTACGAATGAACAGCTGGTGCTAGCGTCTAGTCTCTTATTGGTCTAGTTATCCGATCGATAATTCAAAATCCAGGCTTGCGCACTACGCTTGAGTAGAGCTAACTAAGCGACTTATGCAACTTCCTTCAGAAGATTTATATACCCATTTCACCGGCTTGGCTTCACAGAATGCAGTTTGGAGTCAATATGGTTCTTAGCGATTATAAAAAAGTGAGGTTAGCCAAAAAAGAGTGGCCGAAAAGACGTGCCTCCAGATATAGCATATTTATCTATCTTTTTTAATGATTTCCTGTTTTAAAATTTTTTGAAGCTTCTTTCAAATGTAAAACTTTGCTACAACAGTGCCATCTTAATTGTTCCCTCTTTGATGACCACTTTTCAATACACGAAGAAAATTCTCCTTACCTCTACCTTCCATATTACTAAGGTAGCCTACCAAAATGTAAAAAAATAAGTTTTTTAAGTTAACTAGTGATTAGGTAAATTTGTGTAAGAATAGAGACTCACTGAGAAGTCAGTGTCTTCTAAAACCAGTAACCTTTTTATGTAAATCAATGATTTTTATATTACCTGACTAACAAAAAGCCAATTACCAAATCGTTCCCATTATTTCAACTTAGATATTAAACACTCTTTACAATATCTGGTATAAAAAGTTATCCTTGAAACGTTTAATTATAATCAGGTAACATCATAAAACAACGAAAATTCTTTGTTCAAGACACACGTTTGAATGATTTTAAAAATCATGACAATCGGTCGCCATGGGAGAAATCCAACTAGCCATTCGAGGAGTTTAAATATTCGTAACTATAGAATATACTTAAGTACAACACAGCTCGCAACGGTAATGGGAATGGTCTGGTCCCTTCGAGACACACCCAACAAAAAATTTATTAACAAAAATAATAACTCCTATGGCACAGAAAATAAATTAACATCAATCGTTACACCAGTCGTCTAATTTCCTGGAATTAGAATATTTCGATTCTCCAACGATTCGCGTAGCATGTGGAACAATTGCAACTGTTGCTCGGGTTTCAGATAATGAACTTGAGAGAGTAACTTCTGTGGACTGTCTGTCTGAATAAAGCTGCTGATGTAAACGTTAACGAACGTAGCCATCAGGAACTGACAGTCGAAGCGGTCCATGATACCTCCGTGGCCTGGAATGACGTCTCCAAAATCCTAACGGAGAAAAGACTGTAGTAGTAAAATGAACTGACTACTAAAGTAAATTGAACTCCCATCTCAATATGAAACCATGTTGTAACATATTGTATAAAAATAAATACTTAGTCTTAAAATGTTTAAATAAAATACAAATAATACAGTGTTAAGAAAATACTCCATATCAAAATTTTTATTCGAAATATTCCCTCAATATTTTTTTTAAAATTGACATAGTAATAATTTGACACGTTAAAGCTTCATTCAGAACCTCGCAATTAGTAGAATAAATTAGTGGTTTCAATTAGCGTAGAAGTTTGATCCTCTAATTTCAATGTAAACATTCAGAACGTCGAAATTAGTGGTAGAAATTTTCAATTAGTAGAAAAAGTTAACAAACTTTTAACTTTATAAAAATTTATTGCTTTATAAGCTAAATATTAGGCTTTCTCTATGAATACAACTGACTGAAAGATGTTTTTATTATTAGGATTTATTATTAATTAATAAAATATCCTAGCAACAAAATTAAAATTATTTTAATTGTGTTTGTTTAGACACTAGATCATATATACTTACGTGGATAAATCAACGCCATAAGTTTAGCATTAAAAAATATGTCTCCAACATCACGACATGCCATTTTCAAACCTTCTTTATTGCACTTATGTTCAACAGATTTATCTTTCTCGAGGACCTTACTTTGCACATGCGCATTAAAAGTTGGCACGTATTTCCAAAATAATCACAATTTTATACAGTTTAGAAAAGGGTTTAGAAAGTACAAATTATACATAGTTATGGAAACCAACTTTTCATTGTCATCATATTGTCATAATCATAATTTTATTTCCATTGTGTAACGACGCTTGTTTTTGCGTTTTTTTAATTTAAAAATTGTATTAATTACACTTTTTTACCGCATTTATATAGCCAAGGATGCAAGTGTGTTCAGTGAGAAGTTAATTTTAAGTTTGTGCAATTATATTTCTATTTTTTCCGTTGGACTTTCTAAATACTCGTAAAAATGACTAGAAAGTGTTTAATGTGTCAAAGTTCTAATATAAAGGTCCCCGAATTATCTTTTCATCGGCAAGTAAAGTATTTAGTTGTTCTTTTATTTATATTAAGCCACATGCATATTTTCTGGTTAGATTTCCTAAGAATATTGATATTCGTACGGAGTGGCTAAATGTATTTTTTATATAATTTAATTTTTGTGACAGTAAACATTCAATTTATTGTTCAAATATAAGCATTTTACAAATTAAATTTTTAAAATTAATGTTCAAATTTGGCGCGCGAACGATAAGTCCTCGACAAGGATAGATAAAGTAAAAGCACCGCGTGGGCAACAAAAAAGAAGATAAATGGAAGTCTGGTAGTCTGATATGTTTGCGACAGTTTCCATAGTGATTTACTTATACGTTAGACGTAAGTATATATATGATCTAGGGTTTAGACATTGTGAATGATAATAAACCAAAAAGTCTAAAGTGTAATTGAAACCACTAATTTATTCCACTAATTGCGAGGTTCTGAATGAAGTTTAAAAGAGAAAATATAATAAGATAATTCATTTCTCCAACTAAGATATAATTTAAGGAACCTAACCTTATAAATTAATAAACATATTTTTGAATCAATTTCAAATTATCGAAGATTATATTTAAAAAAAAACATACCTTAATTTTGAACGCTCTCTTAAATCCAGAAGCAAAGAAACCTCCAAATGGCCCAATCACGCTACTGAACAGTGAAAGAGACAAGGAATGAAGCATAAAAGGGTATAGATAGATGACATCTCCTAAACCAAACTGAAAAAAGTCAAACAAATGTTTATAATCGAATTACTACACGTTTAAAAAAGAAAAGCAAAATATACAGGGTGGCCCGAATTGTATTCGGGAAATTTTGTCAGCATATTCTGCACAAAAAATAAGTCAAAAAGTTTGTTTGCATGTCCTAAAATGCTTCCTTTCAGAGATACGCCGTGTAGAAGTTTCATTTTTATTGCGATTTTTTCCAAATAATTTCTGGGATAACGCCGATATTTGGATGAAAATTAGCGTCTGTGAGTGTTTCTTGATATAAGACATTCGATTTCGGTATCAGTACCGAACTCCTATTTGTAGGGGGCCAAAATACACCCAGACACCAATTTTCATCAAAATATCCTAATATCGATATTTTGATGATCCAAATATCGGCGTTATCCCAGAAATTATTTGGAAAAAGCCGAAATTAAAATGAAACTTCTACATCCTGTATCTACGAAACGACTCCATTTTAGGATAAAATTGATATGAACTGTTTTGCTTATTTTTATCTGCAGAATATGCTGCCAACGTTTCTCGAATACAATTCGGACCACCATGTATAGTCAATTAAAAAAAACAAAAAAAAATAAAAAAATTAAATAACACTAAATAATACTTACAATTTTCAACCAGTTCAACCAAATAGGTAAAGTATAACTTTGTAAGCGGAAGAGGGAGCTAGGTTCGCACTCCATTGTCATTCTGCCCAGAGTTTCGCTGTATTCGATTGGGCAAACAAAATATGGATATTGGCACATAATGTAAGATATCTGCAATAGATAAATAAAACATATACGATAAAACATAATATATTAGTGTCCTTGAAACATAAAAAATTGTCGAACCTTATTTTACTACTAAGTCATAAAATGTATATTCAAATTTAACCGTCGAAAATAAACATAATTAGACAACATGTTTTGTGTACGCAAATAGTCATTCCATTAATAATTATTTTAATTAATCAAATTACTTTAGTCAAAACAGTTTATATAACGCTCTACAACCTAACCTATTATTATTATAGATACACTGCTATTCACCCCTCTATATTATAATACAATAATTGGGATATAATTGTACCTTTATTATCATACGTTGCAGTTTACTTTCGACTATTCATTTCATATTAACAAATACATACTACGTAACATAAACACAACTTTTATCAATATTAATTAAATAATATATTATTTAATTAATATTGATAAAAGAAAAACCAACCAAAATTTAAATTTAAATTATAAAATTGTTTTGTTAATTCGTGTATTAAAAACTAATTGGAATGCAAGCAATTTCCTTCTTTAAAAATATAAAAATGTTTAACAAAAATTAAAATAATTTTAAAATCCTCCAGCCCTTTTACCTCTATACTATCGACATATTAAATAGTGATCAAAACATATTACCACTTTTTAAGGACATGTTAATCTAAAAAAAATAATATCTAAACTATAATGGATACACATAAGGTACTACAAAATCGGTTAAATTTTATATTAAAAAAAAACATATTTTTATGTTTGTAGTTAGTACCTACAATAAATTAATAATACAAGTAAGGCAATATAAGGAAATCGGCAATCGGTTTAATACAAGAAAATTTATAATAACATTAAAAATAGGTACTTAAATGGAATTTTGGTTGTCTTGACGGTAATTATTTTGATTTTAGTCATTTTGCCGACTTAACTCGCAGATCATGTTTTAAATAAAAAAATACAGACCTAAGTCATAAAAACGACTTAATTTACATTATATTGATTTAAATCTTTAAGAAAATAACTTAAAGCAAACGATTTAACTCAAACACAAGACTACGATTTAAGTCAAGTTTTAAATTTTATGTTGAAGTTGACTTAAGATTTAAATCATTTTGATTTTAGAAATTACTTGGGACTTACGCTTTAAGTCTTTTTGAAACTGACTTGTTACAGCTCTGTGGATAATAAAGAAATACAGATAGATATTAGATATGTACAGATATGTATTAGATATGGTGCGTCTAAAACATGGCTCACCCCTATAGCTTTTTTTATTTTTTCAGATAAAAAAAACGAGATTTGGTACGTTAGTATATGACATAAATTGGGATTGATTGACGTATTCAACTGTTTTCGGTCACTTTCTGTTTCACAAGAAATTACTACAACTTTTAGATTTTAAAAGGCACCCTCGACATTTTTTTTTATTTTATTCGATAGAAAAAGGCACTCTGAAGATAATTACATATGATATATGTATGTCAACGTTTGACTTCTCTTTTAAAAATCGTATTTTAAATTTCAATCTAGAGTGTCATGGCTGTGTTAAAAACAATAAGTTTTAATCAAGGAGCCTTGGAAAAATAGATTTCATCGCCTAATGTTTTTCATATCTTATCCTGGCCGGCTAAAAGATGCCCAAATCGTATTTTTAATCATATCTCAATGTTATCAAATGAAACGAGGGTGGCTCATGAGCATATTTTTTGTCATTATTTTCAAAATACCATTTCCGGTGAACAGGAAGTGACCGAAAAGAATTGAATAAGTCAGTTCTAATTTATGTCATATACTACATATCTCGTTTTTTTTATCTAAAAAATTAAAAAAATTAATGAGGTGAGCCACTTTTGAGATGCACCCCCTATGTATTATAATACAGTTATTGTTTTACTTACTCCTAGTCCAAAAAACACGGTAGAGAATCCGCCTCAATAAATCCTTCCCAGGTTTTCTTCGGCGACAACTTGATCAATGGCGTCTTTCCAAAGAAGAAACCGAATACGTACGCCATAATATCGTTACATATGATCATCGATACGGGTACTATGAACCAAATCAAACCTTCGAAAATGTTCTTGATAATGAGATACGACTGAGTGACGACGATCAAAAGAGCTACGTGTGTCCAGGCGAATAAGGAAAACTGTTTCATGTAATATTTCTTGACTAGGGACAATACAAACCATACAAAGCCGACGCAGTACAGGTTGAATGATATGAAGCGATGGTAAGCTACCAAAAAACGTAGACCTTCCTGAAATAGAAAAAAAACATATGAAATAAATATTACATAAATATTAATAACTTTAATAGAATAAATATGTTCTATAATAAGATCGAAACCATGAATATGTATAAAAGATAAATTAACCATATACAGGGTCGCTAATATGTATGAGAACGGTCGATTATTACGTAAAATATACGAGGTACCGCAAAAAGTTAAATATAAAAGTTATAGAGTTTTTAAATGTCTATTGACGCGTAATAAATTTAAGTATACAGGATCGGTCATTAATTCGTGGCACATCAAAGTTTAATTTTTGAAATGAAATCCCCTGTATATTGTTGCATATTTCATTTCTTCCTTCAATTCTAAGCAAAAATCGAGATACACATGATGTACCTCAAAGCAACGGTTTCCGAGTTATTAGGGAGTTTTTAGGCCTTCTAAACATATTCCGTTATATCTTATACGTTATACAGAGCATGCGCGTTTATACTTATATAACCGAAAACGTTAATAAAGGATAACATACTACGCTAATTACGGACAAATATCGGTAACGCTAATAACGTGAAAGTTTGTACACTGTTGTCGGATCTATTGCAGTCATTTAATAGTGAATAAAATAAATGTAAGGCAATGTAGTTTTATAAATACTAACTTTTTAACGCTATCCACCCCACCAAATAACCAACTTAACCAACGCAACTAACCTCGACACTAGTAAAAAAATATAAAAAACAAATATAAATTAGTAAAAACCAACCAACCACACCAAATAACCAACTAACCAATGGATTAACACCCTCCAAATAACCACGCTAATCAACCCGCCAAATAACTAAACCAATCCAACCAAAAGAGTGAAACCAATGCAATAACATCACGCTATAAGCAAAAATATATAAAAAGTCTTGGTCGGCGTGAGATTTGAACCACGGACCATTCGCTCAGGAAGCGATAGCCTCAGCCACGGAGCCACAGGTGCTCTTGCAAAATGCTTAAGGCCAGGCATTACTTCCGCCGATAACGACGTCCCAATATCTATTAACGGCATTTTAGTAGGCTACCGTTTAACGGCTGTTTAATTACATCGATAAATCTATACTCGGAACGAATCTGACCATTTCCTCGATGGACAATGACCTGCTTAGTAAATATTATTATTAAAATTTTGATCTTCTAAACATAACCTTGGCAACACCGGTATTGAATACCAGCTATCAAGAGACCGTCTTCAAGTTGAACTTGGAATAAAATGAAAAACAGCACAAAAAACAGTTGTAACAATCACCAAACTAAGAAATAAGACTCAACCTCTGAATAACATTCAATGATTCATGCTTATAAATTATTTGACGCTTTGATTAGAATAAACGCCACCTGCCAAAATAAATAACGTAGTACATGCTGTAGTCAAGCCTCAAAAACGCTTTTCTGAAGACGCCAAGGGAAACGCAATCCGTTATTTTGCCAAGAGTACTCATGAGCAGTATAACGGATAACGTAAGGATAAGGTATAACGACTTAAAACTGCAGAAGGCCTAAAAACTCTCTATTGACTTCTGAAAATATCACTTAAACAATTCGATTCAATTATTAATTTCGATGTGTTCGGTTTCGTTTAACGATGCCATTGTGCGGAAACTGATGCCCAATAATATTTGACGTGTAGTTTTCAGGTTGAAGTATTTATACAGGGTGTTTCAAAAGAAACATGTGTCATCTTTCATGGGGGAGATTCCTCGCGTGAAATAAGATTTATTTGTCATATTAACATAGGTCCGATTCTGCTTGATTTCGTATTTATAGGGTGTATTTAAAGTCTTAATAATCTTTCGATTTATTATAATTTTCTTCCAGGTACTTTTAAGTGATTCGAATGAAATTTTGGTAAAGTTACTATAAGTGCTACATATCTTAATGCTAAAAAAGTGTCGATAAATTCATCAGGGACGTGCATATGAGTTGACACTGGAATAATATCACCCCTCTCGGGAGTGATTTGAAAACTTTGCTAATTCGTTTATAGATCTTTCAAAGTAATTCGTATCAAAAATTCAGGATAGAATTTTTTACGGAAATAAAAAATTTTACCTAAAAAGTACTTTTAATAATCATTATGCCACACCCCGTATATCCAGAAGCAGCTGAACATAACATTGTAATGCAACACGCAAACTAGCGTAGAAATATACAAAAATATCTACGAACGTTCGGGTCACAGCTCGAGAGCTCGGTCCGCCGATCGACCCATGCTTCCAATACCTCCTTAAATAATGCAGCTACAGAATTTATAATTCGAAAAGGCGCGGTGGTTTCATGTCTAGTGGGAATTTACAATGTTGTTTAGGCGTAGTTACAATGACTATGGAGACTGTTGTATAATATCTCAATATAAGCGATGCGATGTGTAAGAAAATGTGCCATCATCATTGTCATCATCTTCTTCAGCCATTTTCGATTATGATGTAGCCTTCTTCTCATACAGTTCATACCAAATACAGTTCATACCAAATAAAAAGAGTAAAAAAAGGCGTAATGGAAGGTCAAAAAATATACGAAGTTTTATAAAAGGACTTTACAGGTATATTTTTTTATTTACGAAGGGTTTATAGCTTTTATGGGCCAAAAACGTTATCAAATTACTGTCTAACAATCATTTATCTCCCGCTAATATGTCAAAACTCAAATCAACATTCTAAATATTCAAATAATCAGGGATAAATTAGATAAGACTGCAAAACTCAAAGAGAACGACACAAGTAGCAAATATCATTTAACAGTATTAAATAATATGATAATATGCGAAAAAACCGTATTCAACTTCAACAAAGGAAACCATAATACACACCTCACAAAAATTTCGCAACACTTATATTTTTCTTAGTATTCATTCTTGAAACGCTAAACATTTTATGTAGAAAACTTAAATCTAAAGGTCTGCCTGAGTTGATGTACTATGATATACTTTCCATTCCTTAACAAGTTGCTATTAATGCAAATAACTTTTGATATTATTGTTAACCAAGAGAATTTAAGAATAGTTTACAGTTTTCCAAATTAATAAGCGATGCGATAATTTATGTGGGGTGTATATTATTCCAAAATAACACTATAATATGTAAAGGCACTTACACAAAACATGCTTTAAAATCATTCTCAATTTCTTCAAACTATGAGCACAGAGCTCTTTCGCACAGAGCTCTTTCGCTTCCGGAAACAAGTCTACTTTTTATTTTTAGAGTGCTTTGGTCGCAGATGTGAAAGTAAAGGATCTGAATATATCAATAAGTTGTGCAATATATGTTCAATAGTTTGGCACCAACAATGATGCAGCATTGATGGTGGATTGCATCGAAGAAAATTTTGCCGGTTTGAAAAAATATTCTCTTGTTGAGATTTTCTGAATTGTTGTAAACTGTCCCCCACCCAATGTGAGGATGGTTTCTCGTCCCTAAAATAGCATTCAGTATGTTCATAGCAAGCGTATCTTTTTTCAATAAAGAAATTATAGCACAAAATTGCAGATAAAAACTCCGGTCGAATCAATGGAAAACGTAATTGCCCAGAAAGAAATTTATTTTTTCTTCCAGGTTCGGATCTACTCGTAGGTGGATGAAATTTATATGTAACAGTATACTAGAAGGTTCACTCTATGATATTTTGTATAACCTTGCGCGAATGTAAGCGTTTTTTGAAAGTCATAATAAACATGTAGAAACTAGACTTGAAAAAATTGGGACATTTTTCAGGTTTGCTGTTGGTAAAAGATCTCTCTTTACGGAAAAAAATTGTTGGAATTGTACAACACAATGAAACTTTGAAAATAATAAAATTCATTTATGAAATTTTTTGTACAGTACGTCTGTCAGTTCTGTAGCTCCAGGGTATCGTGAGGAAACGATATTTTCTCGATGTTTTCGTAAAAATTAGACGACGCGTCCCATCAATAAAAATTCGACAAATTTGCAATAGCTAATAAAATGAGTGGGCGGGCGATTTGCGGTGACGTACTCGTCAAATCGACGTATAAAATATTGCTGTTTATTTGATGATTTTTTGCCCGCATTCCTTTCATCACAGATCCAGCAGATGTACTGTACAGATTTGGTAAATTAAAGGGAAACCATAACTTAAACCCACTATAACTCCCGACTAAGAGGTCAACTGAAGAAATATCTCACATGGTGGAGTTCTGGGATGTCCTTTATCCATCTGTATAAAAAACTTGATGAATTAATTTTTTTTGTTTTTGGGCTAATGTCCCCATTTCCCGATTTCGTTACACTGTGCGGCGGGCGGTACATAAAAATCTTAACTTATTAAGGCTTTAAGCTTTTTGGAGGTATTGATTGAACACGAAACCGCTCGATAGTTACGTTACAGGCCGGCGCTTTTAACCGAACTCGTAACCATCCATTTTGTAGTCTCTCCCGCAGTTCGTTGCAGAGTTCGTTGTTTGAAAGCGAGAGCACGTTACGCTACGCTGTGATTATGGACTGGTCGCAAGAAAAAGTCCTGTCATTTATACAATGTTACAAGAATAGACCGATACTATGGGATCCCAAGCACAGCAAACATTATAACAAACGGAAGAAATTCTATGTTTGGGCCGAACTAGCGAAGGAAATGAACACACCGGAGGACGAATGCAGACGAAAAATGATGAGCTTGCTGGCGTCCCTGAGAAGGGAGCGAGCAAAAATAGCAAAAAGTCGAAGATCGGGTAAAGGTAAAAATGCATCGATTATATTTTTTATAGGGTGAGTCAATGTTCGGAAAAAAATTATACCAGACCCTGGCAGCATTACATTTTAATTTTTGTGGAATTTTAAGAAAACTATTTTTTCAAAGTAAAGTACGGGTCTTAATTGGTAATTTTAGCCAAAAAAATTTGCGGACCAGCTGCAAGAACCTTCCGCCTTTTTATTTGTTATGGAGCCATAAAAATGCTTCTTTCCATCTGTGCACTGGCGCTATTAGATCTTTATCTAATAACTCACCGACACTCAACAAAAGCTTTTTTCCTTTTCCTGTTATTACCGATTCTGAACCGTCCTAGAACTGTGATGCGTATGCGCAGAAGGAAATATGAATACATTATTTCATTTGCGCATGTGCTGCAGATCTAGGACGGTTCAGAACCAGTAATAACAGGAAAGCGAAAAAAGCTTAAGATTGGTTTCCCCATATCGACAAACAAACATAACTTTTTGTCATTTTCAGTTATTCTCATTATTTTTGAAACCTAAAGATCTTACAAAACAGCAGTTATATTTCAAGAAATATTTTTATTTTAAATATTACATATTGATACTGCAAGAACCTTTCCCTTTTTATTAATATTAATACATATTACTACAATAATTACTGATCTATATTTATATCATTCTTATTAGCTATATTACTGTATATTACCAACGTTTGGGTACCCAAGCTCATAGCTGTGCTCATAGTTTATTGTAATATTTATTTTTTAAACAACTCACGATTCTTTGAACGAACTAGCTTTAGAAACGAACCAGTCGCATTGTGATCCGATTTAAGTCTTACGACTCGATCGTTCAACTTGCCACGATTCAATTGAACGAACCATATTGTAAGCAATGAATAAATTCTCACGACTCTTTGGACGAACGAACCGTAGAAACGAACGAGTCGTATTGTGATCCGATTCAATTCTTACGCCTCTTTTTTACGACGCGTTCGTTCAAGTTTTATTGATCCGTGCTGGCCAAGATTCAATTTAACGAACCGTATTGTAAGCAATGAATCAATCCTCGCGACTCTTTGAACGAACGAGCCGTAGAAACGAAAGAGTCGCATTGTGATCCGATTCAATTCTTATGACTCGTTCGTTCGTTCGGATTCGTGTGAAGAAAACCAGACAATTTGGGCTGTATGCATTATGTGTATATATCGTGACAACGATAATAATCTGTAGTCTGCCGTTTTTTTAATTAAATTTTACTAAGCTTTGCGTTTTCTCCTGGTTTATTCCCAAGCCGAGTCTCGATGTTCTAAACAATAATACAACACCATGCTGGCTACGATTGGATTGAACTAACCATAATTCTAAACGGTGAATTGAATCTCACGATTCATTTTTAATACTCGTTCACATTACCGACTCGTTCAATCTTTGCCGCCTCTACTGTATAGTTTTATTACCCACACGCAAGGGCTTCGGTATAAAAATCGGTTTACACAGGAAAACCCTATATGAAATATGAACGTATGAATGGTCTTCTCTTCAGAAACCCTAATAATATGGAGTTTTTCGAAGAGTAAGCCACTCTGAAAATGTTTTGTTAATTATTTTAGAATGGCCGAATTAATTTAGAAAATATAAATGTATGATTTTAGGCCCTGGAGATATTTATGTTAGTAATTGGTTTGCTTATAAACCGATGGCGTTTTTGAACCAGAGAAAGCCACATCCAAATGCTACTTCCAACGTAAGTGTTTTTAACCGTAATAGTGATTTTGAAAATATTATTTTGCAGTTGGCTGAGCCAATTTTAATAACTAATATAAGTTTCTAACCAAGCGTACAATGAAATGTGGACACTCCGTACCACAAGAGAAAGGAAAGAATTAAATTATATTTGAAATATTTTTTTTCAATTTTTTTTTTCATTATTTTGTTTTAATTGCATTTTTCGACACTCTTCCTATCCATCTCGGTTATCTTATGACAAAGAATCTTATCGAAAAATTAAAAACTGAGCCACTAACATACCCCAAACTTATTTTCATAAACAAGTTAAAAAAATGTACTTTTTAACTTTTTAAAACAAATAAACCTAGTTTAAAAAGGTATTATCATTTTATTCAATTTATTCGACGTCAAATTTTGATTATTGGCTATTCCACGCTAGATGCTGCGTAGAATTGTTGCACAAGTGCATTGAAAATACCAATAACTCTGATTGAGAGCGTGCTACCTAAGAGCTGCATATGTTTATTTTCAGTGCAGTTTATTCAGAGAACGATGGAAAGCAAAATTATCTGGTTAAATTAGACCCTTTTAAACGAGGATTATTTATTTAAAAAAAATAAAAAATTAATTTTAACTTAATTATGAAAATAATTATAGAGTATCATATATTTTTAGAAAGCTCATAACAAGGCAAATAAAATAGTTAAATACATATACCTATTTTTTACCTTGTTTATTAAAATAAGTATAGAATATGTTATATTTTTAAAATGTTTATTCAAATGCCAAGTAAATAAAATAAAAATAATATACAGGGTGTCCCATTTAACAAAACATAAGTTTGAGGCATATTTCAGGAATGAAAGCTCAAAAAACTAGTTACGCCGCTGGTTCAGCTGAGCCAAAGATTATGCTTTAGCACAATTCAAACTATTTACTTACAAAATTATTAAAAATTAATCGATTTCACTCGAAAACCATCTTGTGTAAATCTATACATTTTGAAAATTGCAGTTTTTTGTTTTAAATTATTTTCAATTTTGTTGGAAATATACTTCAACGTTTCTTTCTCCATGCGGAAATATTCGTAAAATTTTTGATTGTGAACTGTGAGTTGTAGATATAACGTATGATATTTACCAAATTCAAAATGAGACCGATCAATTTCATAAACGCGAGTGGTACTTTTTTGCATCAGTTTAATATGAAGATCACTAGCTAATAAAAAGACATAATAGATCCCCACGGGATAGCTTCATGATGCCAAATAACATTCCTGCAAGCGGTTGTTAATGGCCACTACCTGCTTCAATGGCGCAAGTTCACAAAGCGATAAGACCTGCCGCGAGATAAGCCGGCCACCGTAAAGCCGGTGCACTATGGACGTACGCTAATGGCGGGTTCATACAGCCAAATAAAATAAGATAAAATAAGAAAGTTAGATTGTTATGTTTTAACTTCTCATTTTATTTTATGTGGAAAGCGGCTTTGCGCACGCTTAATTTTAACCTACAAATATTTTCAGTTTAGATTTAGTTTGTTTTTTATAATTTTACCTAAGCATAAATTTATAATATAGTATGCATCGAATAAATAAATATACTATAAATAGTATAATTACTATTAACAATCATTAAAGTTAACTTTTATCCAGCTTCATTGAACTGCGCACGAACAAATATACAGGGTGGCGCACCTCATTCGCCTCGGTTGATTATATGAAAACGGTAAGATGTAGAAACAAAATATTTTATGGGTATATGTGGGGAGGCAATGTGCATAATTTAAAATTATTTTGAAATATACAGGGTGTTTCAGAACTAAGATCCATACCAAAGTTATATTTTTTCTTATGGAACACACACCCGGTATTTTATTTCATTTTTGAATTTTTGGACGAAAAAAAAAGACATTTATTATAAGTGTTAAAAATGTTCAAAATTTTTGGTTTTTGAGATATTTAAAGATATTCAAATTTGCATTCTACAATAGAATAGATTATTAACACCCTATACATTACTTTTCAGAATTAATTCTTGTGCGGAGTTTAAAGGTAGAGAAATAAACTTGACAGAAAAATGTTATTGCTTCCTTAAATTTATACAGGGGTATCAAAAATTGATTTAAGAATTTATTTTACATAAATACTTCGTTATTTCAAATACAACACCCTGTATTTTTTTAAAAGAAATCGAAACAGATTCAAATGCTCTTTCAGACTATATTAGGGTTTCCTATACCTATCTAGCTCAGATTTTGAATAAAGAGCATTTTAGGGCATTTTTTTCAAAAAAATGGCAACCAAGAGGGCTAGTGTCGTCATGGCAAGTTTCTAGTGAAAGTTACTAGCTATTTTCAAAATCGAAATTAATTTATGGGTTTTTTTAAATTTGTACCAGTTTACTTTTATTTAATTTACCTACAATAGTTTAATAAGTAATATTTCTTAAATATGTATTTATTATTCAATCAAGAAAAACGAAGAATCTTTGATTTATTTTACCATTACTACTTGTAGATATATGGATTTTCTATAAAAGAGCCAATTACGACAAATTCATTTTCTTCACTTCCAACGACAGGTTTCTGCCTAATAGGTTTTTAACAAACCACTCTACCAGCTCTGCGAAATAGGACAAGTAGTTTTTCAAAGGAACGCTTATCAGGAAGATTTATTTGGATATCTTTGTGCATAAGCCCTTGTGGCCAAGAAGCAATTTACCTCACAAAATAAAATCACACTAGTTACATATCTATAGAAATTTTAAAACATTTTCCGATGCACGTCATCAATCACATCGAAATTGACACTAAAGCCTATAAACCTGAGTAAATGAAATTTTAGCAAAAATGTTTAAATTTGTTGACAAATTTAAAATACCAAGCAACTCTTCATTATACTTTATAGAGCAAATGATTGTAACATATATTTTATTTAGATTAAAGCTGCAAAAATTAGTTTGAACCGATTTTTATTATCGCCTTGTTGGTCACATTGCGCCATGTGTAGCAATGTTGTCGTGTATTATTTGACAATTATCCTAGTGTCAGTCATTATTTTGTATAATATCGTGTTGTTGAATTTTTGGGAGTAATTCTCGTTTTTTGCAGTTTTTCATAGTTTTTTTTTCTTTTAAATTGTACTTCTAAGCACGAACAATTCTTTTAAGAACTAAATTTTCGAGATTTTTTACTGAATTTTTTTGAAATTGTGAATTGAAAATATGTCGAAGCCTTTAAACAGTCGAAGCAAAGCGCTTGTAGCTTCCCTGATAAATATTTTGAGCGCGAACGTGACAGTAAAGGTCCTTTATTACCCTTGAATGCAGTCAGAGAAATAAGATTGATTGGTAAACATATTATACCACTTTCAAGTTATTTCTACTTATTTCAATTTGTAGCGAGTAGCTGCTGCCTTAAAAAATATATAAAAATTATATACTAAATATATCGTTTGTCACTTTAAAATTAAGATTCATCTCATAAATCCATCACAATCTGGCAGCGCTGTCGCCATCGCTTGTCACTCAAAGTTGATGACGTGCATCGGAAAATGTTTTAAAATGTCTATATTCGTTCTGCTAGCACATACTGCTTTGTAGGTAAATTTAATTAAACCGTTATAAATTATAAATAATAATGTCCATAAACTAATTTCGACTTTGAAAACAGTTACTAACTGTAGCTAGAAAATTGCCATGGCGACACCAGCCATCTTGATTGCAATTTTATTTAAAAATCGCTTTTTATTCAAAATCTGAGCTAGATAGGTATAGGAAACCCTAATATAGTTTGAAAGAGCATTTGAGTCTGCTTCGATTTATTTAAAAAAATACAGAGTGTTGCATTTGAAATAACAAAGTTTTAATATAACATATATCCTTAAAATAGATCAGCAACTTTTGATAGCCCTGTATAAATTTAAGGGAGCAATACCATTTTCGGTAAAGTTTATTTCTCTACCTTTAAACTCAGCATAAGAATTAATTCTGAAAAGTAATGTACAGGATGTTAATAATCTATTCTATTGTAGCATGCAAATTTAAATATCTTTTAATATCTAAAAAGCCAAAGATTTTAAACATTCTTAACCATTATAATAAATGCCTTTTTTGGGCCCAAGAATCCAAAGATGAAATAAAATACCAGGTGTGTGTTCCATAAGAAAAAATATTACTGTGGTATGGATCTTAGTTCTGAAACACCCTATATATTTCAAAACAATTTTAAATTGTACACTGCCTCCCCACATATACCCATAAAATATTTTGTTTCTACATCTTTCCGTTTTCGTATAATCAACCGAGGCGTATGAGGTGCGGCACCCTGTATATTTCTTATTTTATTTTATTTGGCTGTATGAACGCTGACAAATAAGGATTCCTTATTTCTTATTTTGTTTTATTCTTATTTTATTTTATTTGGCTGTATGAACCCGCCATAAGTCCTCCGACAAAGGCTACAACGATTTCTCATAGCCTATTTACTTATAAAGTTCTATCGTTCGCGATTACCACCTATACACCCAAAACACTTTTACTTTTTACACACTGGACGCGTTTCGCTAACCATGTTAGCATCATCCAGCGCGATGATTTATAAACTGAGTAAAAGTTTATAATCATCTGCTGATGATTGTACATGTTTTAGCAGGCTGCCTGTAAAGTAAAAGTGTTTCGGTATCGCCAACTGGAACTATAATGTTTTTATTTGCTGTTCTTTATTATGTATCACCCTGTACAATTTTATACAGACCGGACCACCCTAGTAGTAACATAGGCAGAACCGGACGAATTAGCGTATACCCGTCCGCCGGATAAAAAGCAGGCGAAAAAATGCGATAAAATAAAAATAGGTCGATATGTGATAAGAATGTTTCATAATTTGTATTTATTGGTGTTTTAATAGCCAAAACGAATACGTAGATTCTCGCGTCAGTTCTAGTGTAAAATTTATTTTTTAAGTAAAATAATGGATGTTCATGAAGTTCGTGAGAAAATTCTAATTGTAAAATGGTATTTCCAAAATAGGTCTTATCGGGATATACAAATAATTTTTCCACAAACTTTTGTAAACAGGCCAATTCCATCTTTATCTACTATATCAAGAGTTATTAATAATTTTGAAACACATGGGTGCATGTCCCCACAAAAACACAAAAAGCCTGATGTGTTGATTAATGAAGAACAGGAGTTAAAGCAAGTGATCGTTTGTGCTACCGCGGATCAAAATCCCACGTTGTCAAGTAATCAAATTGCTGAGCTACCCACAATGCCCGTATTGTTCAAGAATATTTGAACAATACTTTTCCCAACCGTTCAATTAGTGGATATGGAACTGTTTTGTGGCCCGCTAGATCACCCGTTCTTTCTCCCAATGATTTCTTTTTGTGGGGTTATGTAAAATCCAAAGTGTATGGTCATAATAGAGCTAATAATCTGGATGAGCTTCAAGTAAAAATACGAGAGGCTTTCCAAACTATTAGCCCTAATATGTTAGCCAATGTCAGACGGGGATTTTACGACCGCCTAGGCTTCTATCTAGCACAAGAAGGTGGTCTTTTTGAACACTTGTTATAACTTTTTTTTTATTTAGAGTAATATTATAATTTTTTTGGGGGTTTAGAGAATTTATTTATTTTTAGTTTTGGCTTGTAAACACACTGAAATAATAAATATTTAAGTATTTTTATTTTAAATGTTACCTTAAGTGAAGGTAAACACTTAAAATGAAAATAATAAATACACGGCACTCCTCGCGTCATATTCCTAGTCTGTCACGACCGACCCGTCCAAGCACAACTGCAATTGCGTACTGCCTGACCAGCCGACTAGCCGGCAGTGACTCTCGAGTACGAACGCAAAACGGGTAAACGTAAATTCGTCCGGCAACTTGCTAGTTACTAGTAGCCTGGTCCTCTCTGTATACTTTATTAAATTAATAAAAAATATTGATAATTTTTAAATTTACTTTCAGATAAAATATTCTCAAGAAATTGACGAAAATATTAACGAAGGTTTCAGTGAGAATGAAGAAAAAATGTCAAGTGATTCTTCCGTTAAGGAATATGAGAATCCTACACCTCTGATGAAGATAAAAACTGACACTGAAATACCAGAAGAACCAGCTATTTCTACTTACGCTGTTCTAAAGAGATGCAACGAAACAACCGAAACATCTGTAAGGACAATGCCAGATGAATCTGAAAGTTTCGGTTTATTTGTGTGGAAACAAACTGAAATCTTATTCTCGCGAAACCAGAAACGTGGTACAACATTTAATTTCGGATATATTATTTAATGCTGACCAAGGTCAGTACGAGAGTATAAAACAACAAACTGAGGATATTTATTAGCCCAGTAACTTAATTCGACGAAAGAATAACAAATAGACAGTTAGCCCGTGGTTACATTGGATGCGTATCCGTGCGTTTCTTTGGTCGTACGTGCTCAGACGTGCACGCAGCAAAAAACAAACAAATGGTATCTACGCAGGCGGTTACATTGCATCGGAGTTTGCGCGTCCGTGCACGTACGTCAAATTCCGTTGGTCGATGCGTTGGAGGCAGATGCCGAAAATTAGACATATTATGGCGATTATAATTAAATAATATACCTACCTATATCCACAAAGTTACGCGGAAGAGTTTTGATTGCTTGGTTTCAACTTCTATGCGGAGGGTATTAATCTTTTGTTATATTATACCAAAAAAAAATTAACCCCCTGGCAAGTTTAGTATGGACAAATCGTCATATGTCTAATTATTTTGGACATTGGCCGAAATTCGGCATCTGCCTCCAACATATACATACATATAGAAATTTGTAAAAAAATATTAGGTTAAAGCACCTACACACAACCAAACTTATATGGAATCATCTATTATTTTTCATAATTTTTGAGATGTATGAAAATTTTCTGTTTATGAATAAAACTCAGTCCTTACCAATGACTTTTAATGAAAAATGAAAAATAATATCAATCAATATCAAAAAAAGCAATAAAAAAAATTAATCAGTTCTCAAAATAAACAAAATGGCATTTTTTTGGTTTCTGAAACGAAATTAAGATTTACATTTTTAATGGCCAAAAAGCATAAACAAAAAGAAAATTGATAATTTTAATATTCCTTGTTGCCACCTTTAGCCCTTATGCAAGCTTCTATCCGCGCTGGCATGCTTGTATTAAATTATCCACGTTGTCTTGGGGCATGTTTTCCCATTATGCTAATGCTGCATCAATAAGCTGTGCGATATTTCCTGGATTGTTTCGACGAGCTCTAACCCTTCCTTTGAGCTAGTCCTACAAGTGTTCGATAGGGTTTAGATATGGTAAATAGGCAGGCCAGTCCAAAACTATGACACCTTCCGTTTCAAGACATTCTCTAGTCACTCTGCTGTTATGGGGAGGTGCACTATCGTGCATGAACTTAAAATTATCCCCAATTGCAGCTCTCCAAAGACTAACGATTGGTTCTAGCACCAAATCTACATGTCTCCGACCCGTTAAAATTTGTTGAAGTGGTAACAATGGAGTTTTTGTTCCTAATATAATACCTCCCCAGAACATTACAGTTCCTCCTTTATATCTTGGTACAGATTTGGCATCCTGAAGTCTCGCTCGTCTTCCTGGAGCTCTGAGAACCCGAATTCGATGGTTATCTGATCTTAGGCCAATTTTGGTCTCATCCGAAAAAAGAACAATTTGCCAATTCTCAGTTGTCCAGTTTTAATGTTGAAGGCATCAATTTAGCCGGCCAATTTTATTTTGCCGAGATAACTGTGGGATCCGTAACTCTCTCCTACTGTAAAACCCTCGTGCACGAAGCCTTTTTCTTATGATTTCAACTGAAATGTTCACACTTGTAGCTGACAGAAGTTGTCTTTGTAGCTCTGGATGAGAGACATTGGGATTTATTCTAGCAATTTAGCACACAAGGCGGTCTTGTTATTCAGTTGTGACTCTTCGACGACTTTGTATGGGCCTATCCTTGTGTGTTCCTAATTCCAAGTATCTTGCATATGTTTTCGATACAACACCCTTGGTAACGCGTACTATCTCTGCTACGTCTCTGTGGAGCATTCCTTGTTCGGTGAGAGCAATAATTCTTCCCCTCTATACAGCTGTTAATCCAACATAAGGCATTTTTAAATTTTTTTGGATTGAATGAAAATTACCGGACAATCGTGATTTTACTATTGAACACAAAATTCAAAAGAAAATAAATCGCAGCAGTCGTTTATTCTTTATTAGCATGTTTATTTACAACAAAAAGCCTTATCTTAAAGTTGTATACCAATTTTTATCCTTGCAAGAAATTTAGTCAGAAATAAAGAGTGATTCCATATAAGTTTGGTTGTGTGTATATTGTTTATTAACAAAAACGTTAGATGGTGATTTTTTCAACTTTTCGATCGTTTCTGATCAAAATAAGTGGCACATTTATATAACAAGTTGTAGACGGCTAAATTCTCCTAACTTTTGTATTAGTAAGATTGACTGTGAAAAAACTTAAGAACTGCTGTGTGAACTACAAAAACCAACGTGGGCAGAACATCGATTTCCAAAAAGTGATCCACATATTTTGCAATATTGAATTTTTGCTGTTAAACACGGGGGATGAGTTTTTAACTGTGATCGGTCCAACATAACAAATGTTACAGGTATTATTATGGTCATACATTTTTTGCTTCACGCTTCACAACGCTGTTTTTACGTTTTTTTTTTAAATATATTTTAGGGATTTCATACATGTTTTTATATAAAATAAAGTTTTTTTTATATGTAATACAGAGTATTTTATTTTTGAAAATAAAAAAAGTAATAATGCGTTTGAGTAAAAAATATTTTCCAATGTAATTATACCGAACCACTCCGAAATTATCAAGAGCTTTGGATCACATCCGCTGCACGAACAGCGCCAAATAGTATTTACATTATCCTTAAGGGCACTTTCCAATCTAAACTTGTTTCTTGTATCTTTTTTTTTTGAGGGAAAAACCACCATTGAATAGTGCCGGATTCCTACTGGCTAAAAAAACCTCTTCTGCCCTGCGACAGAGCCGCATTGAAATCCGCTTTCGCATTTCTTCAATCTGGCCGTTGTCCTTAAGCTTCTTCTATTAGACTCTGCATCATCTGGGACTCAGGCATTTTGTCCCAGGCATTTTTCCCACCAACTAAGCTATTTGCTACATTTCTTATTTTTCATTTATCTGAGTGCGCTTTACCGTTTTTAATAGGTTATATTGCTGAGTTGGGAATAAAACTATAATATTCGGTATCTATTTTGTTAATATTAATTTAACTGAACTAAAATGGACACGGACAATACGATTTTTGGGACAGAAGTGAAATAATATTCTAAATGTTGTAGAAATACCTGTCAAATTACATCTTGTGGCATATGGCATAAGAATATCTATGAACGGAATCGTTTCATTGTGAAGGTTCGATATCCCTTACGTCTTAACGATACGGCTTAAGGCAGAATTCAGCATAATGCAAAACCCGATATGCCAAATGTGAAATAATGTTGACATACCGGGTTCTGCCTTACTACGCATATACGTATGTTAGTATCACAGAACTATCCATAAGATTTCGATAAAGGCGTATTTCAAAACGGATACCACCCTTAAGATAAAATAACATAAAATAACAGTGAAAAAAAGTCATAAATACACTATGTCAACAAAACAAAACAACGCACATAATTATAAAACTTATCAGTATAATACAAAATGATCGAAAAAAAACGGCGTCAGCGATGGCTATGAAAAGAAGATGGCTGTCATTTTATATGTATGTAAAATTATATGAGAAATGACATCGATCGTCGTTTCCAAGCCATCTGGATGTCGTTTTTTTCGATCATACGGTATTATACATTAGCTTTCAGCAATAGAGTGAGTATAAAACTCAGCTTGTG